AATAGAAATGGGTTGGACAAAGCTCAAGAGATAGAAATACACATGGACTATGCAGGGGATACTGAGGGAGTAGGCAAGTAGGACAGCAATGAAAGAACATAGAAAATAAAAATTTCCAACACTTAGCACTTACCACACTCTGGGTATGGTTCAAAACAACTGTATGAGGTGGGTACTATTATCTCTACTTTACAGATGAGGAAACAGAGAGGTTAAGTAACTTGCTCAAGGTCACACAGCCATTAAGCGACAAAATTGGAATTTGAATCCAGACAGTCTGACTCCAAGAATCTGTGTGATTAAAGTAGGTTGAAGCCTGTTTGTAAAAAGCTAGGGACTTTGGACTTTTTCTTGTGCTATAGAAAAAAGTTTGAGCAAGACTTTTGAGCAAGAAGGAGTCTGAATGAGAGAGATCATGGGAATAAAAATGTCACTTCACAGGTGGCATGGATCCCTCACTAGCTCACAGCTGGGTGGCAGAGGTGGTGGTGTGCTGGAGCTGGCTCACTCTGGCTCCTCAGAAACCATTGTGTGCATCTCTTCTCAGCTTGTCAGTGACATCACATTGGTAGCCTGAAATCCACCATGGTGAGAATATTTACACCATGGAAATTGGCCAATGCTGCAAATCACGGCTTTCCCCCAGAGAGCCAGTTGTTAAATATTTACTAGCACAACACTGCCTGTGAACAACTGCAATATGATGATAAAACCCCTCATCAGATAGAGGGGTGGCACAAAGGAGTAGGGATTACTTACACTTGGTGGAGCCAAGCAGGAAGGCCTATGCAGAATGTTAGAAAATGAGCAGATGTTTGCTATGAAGACAAAGCTGACAAAGGGCAGCTCAGGCAGAGGGGTGGAATGGCACAGTATATTCTATGGTTTCCATGGAAGGAAACCATGGATGTGTAGGAACTTGGCAACCTAGAAGGTGCCAAACAAAAGGATGTTTATTAAGCAAATCCAATATGGGGTTTATAAAGTGGGCTAATTGGGGTTGGGGAGGGAGTATCCACGTTACAACACATTAACCTTTGTTCTTTAGCTGGCAGGATCCCTAGAGGATTTCGAATGTGGCTCAACTGAGCCTTTACCCAACTCCTCAGTGAACGGGAAACCAGGCTCAGGGAAAGATCTGGCATCAGGAAGAGAATGGGCTAGAACACTCAAGGGCTGCCAGATAACTGGGAAATGTTGACAAGGGCTTTGAAATGCCCTGTTTATTTGTGGGGAAGGGCAGGGACCTGCTGGGAAATGGGACCACTGGAGGGTGTAGCGAGGGTCAGGCCAAACATACACTTCTTGCTCTAAGAGCCAGAAAATGAACTGCACTGCGGCAAAGCTTGTTTCATTATACTTTGGTGTTGGGTGGGGTCCTGGGTACTTTGAGTTGCTCAGTAATCCTCTGCCTTCCACAGGCCGACTTTTTTCCTCAAGCACCCTTTGGTCTCTGTGCCCTCGACAGTCTCCACAGCTCTGCTTGGTGCCACACTGTCCCAAAAGTTCTGAAGGAGACTGAGGTCATCTGGGCTGCCTCAGCAGACATAGTTGCCAGAGACAGGACCCTGCAGGGTCTGGAAACGAGCCCTGGCCCCTCCCTTTGATGGGCCTGTTATCAAAGTTGTTTTGCTCTGCAAGATGATCACGGGGCCTCATTTCCCTGCCAGCCGCCCCCATCAGCTCCGAGCCCCGTGGGACACAGGCAGACACAGGCAGGTGGTCAGTGTGAAGAAACCGCAGTTCAGTAAAGGATGGGCTGGTGCTCTGGCCACAGGAGCCAAGAAATTGGTCCAAAACTGACCTTGGCCAAGCCCCCCCCCCACAGAAGCCTGTTCTAGAAGTAATTTACAAAAGAAAGGCAGAAGTTTGGGGTGAACAAAGGGCAGTTACACAAGCCCTATGTTTTAGACTGCACAGCTCTGAGATAAGACCCATGGCCATATCCTGCGCTGCAGTGCTGTGTGGAGGGCACTGAGCCATGGGCAGGGGGGACTGCCCCAGGCCTCAGGTGACCAGGCCTAACCCTGTACAGGGAGCTCTGGCCCAAAGGAAGGACAATAGAATCATAAGGCTTGGCCCTTCATAACAGATCAAAGGGCTTTCGGTGGTCTTGAGGGTATGAGGTCACAAGGAGCAGTGTCTGAGATGGCCAAGATTACAGACCCTGTCTGCTAAGAGGTGGCCACTGTTGGCCTTTGAGGATGCAGGGACCTAGCTTGGTGATGGGCCTCATGAAGTGGTCATACCTAAGTGCCTTGAGCACCCTCGCTGGCAGTCCCTCTGCAAGTGTGGGGCCACACTTAGGCCAGGAACAGAGCTAACAGCCGATGTGTGCCTAGAATGAGCCCTTTACTTGGGACAAAGCTCTTGGGATTGCAAAAGGATAAACTGAGTCCCACGGAGATCACCATCGGCTCTCATTCAGGGCAGTGAGGTGCTGACAAGAGGAAGGACATCTCCCTCCCAGTTCACACTCACTTGTCCACTGTAATGGCAATGCCTGCACACTTAGCATCCCCTTGCGTTGCAGATGGCTGAACTCACCTAAATTAGATATGTGCACAATGAGATTACCCTAAACACACCACCTGTCGCTACCCTTGTGCTGTGACTGCACATGAATGCTTCCCCTTCCTGGAATCGCCCTCTGCTGCCTGGCTTTTAGGCCTCTGCTCTTGATCCTTCCCGCCTCCATGGCGCCCACCTTAGCTTATTCTGTCAAAACCCAATCTATCCTCAAAGGCCCAGCTCAACTATCCGGAGAGCCCTTTCTGAGAATTGGGCTCTCCTTCCTTAAGTTCCCACAGCACTTTGTGTGAACCCCTAAGGTCTTTCCACAGTCAGATCTTAACTGTTCTTACCCTCAGGGCCCAAACACCCAGTGCTCCATAAGGGCTTGTTAACTTGTGCTCTCTGGGACTCCTAGTCCACACATTAACAGTCCTTCCTTACTACTTCCTGAAAGAGCAAACATTTATTGAGCTACTATGTGCCAGGCCCTGGTGGTGCAGTGGTTAAGCACTTGGCTGCTAACAGAAAATGTTGGAGGTTTGAACCCATCCAGCTCCATGGGAGAAAAGACCTGGCAATCTGATCCCGTTAAGATTTGTCGCTGTTGTTAAGTACCGTTGAGTAGATTCTGACTCATAGTGACCCCATGTGACAGAACAGAACTGCCCTAATAGGGTTTTATAGGCTGTGATCTTTACAGGTGCAGATCGCCATGTCTCTTCTCCTCAGGGGCTGCTGGGTGGGCCTGAACCATTAACCTTTCGGTTAGCAACCCAGTGCTCAACCTTTGTGCCAAAAACCAAAAACTAAACCTATTGCCGCTTAGTTGATTTCGACTCATAGCGACCCCACGGGACAGAGCAGAACTGCCCCATAGGGTTTCCAAGGAGCAGCTGGTAGATTCGAATTGCCTGCCTTCTGGTTAGCAGCCGAGCTCTTAACCACTGCACCACCAGGGCTCCACCTTTGCACCACCAGGGCATAAAGACTACAGCCTAGAAAACCCTATAAAAATAAAAACAAAAACAAAAACCAAACAAACTTGTTGACAACAACTTGATTCTGGCTCATAGCAACCCTGCATAGGGCACTTCTACTCTGTCACATGGGGTTGCTATGAGTCAAAATTGACTCACTGGCACCCAGTAACAATGTGCCAGTCCCTAGCCAAGAATTTTCACATACACTAATTGACTTGTGTAACACTGGGAGGTGATGATTGCTATCTGATGTGAAAACAGAGCAGCTCAGTGACATGTCCAAGGTTAAGTAGCAAGTGATGGAGCCGAATCAAGGTCAAGGTTTTTTCCTTTATGTTGAGTTGTCCACCCACTCATGGAGAACCCATGCACAATGGGATTGGACTGTTGTGATCTATAGGATTTTCACTGGCTAATTTTTTGAAAGTAGATCACCAGGGCTTCCTTCTAGTCCATCTTAATCTGGAAGCTCTGCTGAAACCTATCCAGCACCATGGCAACATGCAAGCTTCCACTGACAGACGGGTAGTGGCTGCGTTTGATGTGCATTGGCTAGGAACCGAACCCAGGTCTCCCCATGGAAGGCGAGAATTCAACCACTGAACCACCACTGCCCCTTTTAAGCAGACACAAAATTTATCATTTATACTGCATTCTTACATACATTATCTGATTTGATCCTCACAACAGCCCTGTGAGGTAGGTAGGGTTATGTATTATTGTTATGCCCATTTCACAGATGAAGAAACTGAGGTGGCTCAGTGAGGTGAGTGACTTGCATAAAGTTACCCAGCATGTTAGTAGTTTCACAGGACCTGTAATTTCTCTAAAGTCAAGCTGCTTGAATTCAGAAGTACTGAAAAGGTGGAGAAAGAGAAGCTTTATGGAGAAAACAGGGCAGCAGTGATGGATGAAGTTTCTTTTCCAAGCTGTTTGGTCATGGTAATGACTTCTGCTGTCTGGTCTAAACTGGGTTCTTCTGAGGGGATTCCCTGAGTACTGTCAGCCTGGTGGCCTGGGACAGCTGTCACACAGACCTCTGGATCCCACCAAACTGGGGAAAGGCCTTTATTGCCTAAGAGACCCAGCCTTGCCCCAGGCCCAGCATGCAACCTCTCCACTCAAAGGGCGTTTATGGGAAACCCCTTGCTTAGGCCATCTCTTGTGGGCACCTGTGTCACCAGGCTTCCTTGGCTTTGTCTGGGGGCCCCTCCCCAGTGGGGAAGACTCCAGGCACTCCCAAGGCCATACTTGCTCCAGGGATGAATCATAATGTGCAGTTTTGCGGCTTGCACTGCTCAGCATCCTCTGGGAAGTAGAGGCTTGGGATTTCTTGCCCAAGGGGCAGTTATGTCCAGAAATAGTACTGCAGGGGAAAGCTACCTCCTTCAGAGAAGTGTCTTAGGGACTAGACACTTACTCCAAGGACACTATATTATTCAGACCACTCCTGGGCTCCTTGCTGCACATTGCCCTGCAAGACCCTGGTCTCCCTCCTCAGGGGCATCAAATCTTCATCCTCCAACAGAAGATGGCCAAAAAGTATGTGCAGTCATGGCTGGTGAGTAAGATGGGTGAAATGGGTGTCACAAATGAGGCAAAGCCGTAACAAAATGGGGTTGGCTTACAGGGGATGGAAGGGAGCTAACTTGGTTCTGAAGACACATCCCAAAGAGGAAGCCTAATTCTGAGTAATAATATTTTCAGAATAAGTGTCTGGCCTCAAGGTGACTATTTTGAAGGAGAAGACACACAATAGGGTGTGAAGGAAGGCCTGGAACCAAGACCAGCAAATAGAAGTGGCAGGGGGACAGATTTTGGCTTAATACAGAACTTTATAACATGCAAACACTGTTCAACCATGGCAGGGGCTGCTTTGGGGATGGCAAACTTCCTATGACCAGAAGTATGCGAACAGGGACAGGTGATTGCTTGGGAAGTACTCAGGGAGGGGTACTCACCCCCAAATGGTGCTCATCAGTGTGCTGGGGATGGGGGAGGACTCAGTGACTTCTGAATTATTTTCCAACCCTGAGATTCCATAATATATTTGTTATATATGACCTGTTTCAATCATACCTCACATTTTAGGGGGAAAGATTACAAGTCGGGTAACAGGCCAGATTATGAAGTGCCTCTCATCACACTGATTCCAGATATTTTCAAACCATTTCTGAAGTGAGAAATCCCCAAATGCCTAGATATGGCCCAGTTAGGAGGGACAGCCCTACCTTCTGAACCCTGCCTGGTGCTTGGTCCTCTAGGCCATGTTACAGTTCAAATCTCTCCCTCACAGGGGCCACAGGCATAACCCTGAGAACACATTTCCAAGGAACCAAACATGGTTATCCCCTGAGCAAAAAGTCCAGGGTCCTCGATGCATCTCAGGGATGGAGGAGTGGGCGTGATGGGAATCTCTGGGTACTTTGTGTCCTGGAATACTGAAATGACCCTCTTGTTCTCACCCCTTCCCTTCTGCCAGAGGCCGTTTTTACAGATGGGTAAGTGAGGCACTGGCTAATGGTCCAGAGAGAGATGGAAACCATGAAAAAACTACTGCTCCCCTGCCTCAGTCAGAAAGTCCTCCTGTGGCCTCCCCTGAATATGTGAGCTGACTCTTCACTGTCATAATAAACTGCCCATCTCCAGCTTAAAACAGCAAGAAAAAGGTTCCTCTGTTCAGAGGACATGTGGATTCCAAAAGGTGGACTACATCATGGGGGGAATCAAGTCCTGCAACGTGATTAATACATATTAGCATAGTACCCTGCCTCACATCACCGGCGAGACTCTTTCCGAGATCTTGGCTGACGTGGTACTTCTTGGGACCCCACCCTTCCAATGTTGCTAGGGTTCTTTTACCTGTACCGTATTAATCGAATAATCTTATTGTTCATAAAATCCAGGGCATGTGGGTGAGAAGAATCAATACAGAAGCCATCACTCAGGGCGATTTTTAGCACCTCCTCCACAAAGACCTGGAAGCTGTTGATCTGCTTGTTAGCAGGTACCACCCATAGCCTCTTGAGGTTCTGCTTGGTGTATTCCTCTTCTGGCAGGCCCTCCACATTGGCCACCCAGTCCAGAGTCAGGTGGTTGGGATCTTGCAAGTGACCAGTGATGGAAGAGAGATTGCCATTGGAGCAGTAGAAGAGCTTGGAGCCAAGGAGCTTGAGGAAGAGGCAAGAGGTGCTGAAGATGTTGGCGTTGAAGACCTCCATGCTGGAGGAAGAGAGGCTGTAGATCTGGGGTGCCTCGCGCACAGTGAAGTGGACCGTCTGCACACGCTGGTTCAGTGTGATGTTGAGCATGGCATTCTTCTCTGCCTTGGAGAGCTCTACTTCCTTCTCCTGCAGGGCCTCAATCAGGGGCTGCACCTGGTAGAAGTCGGCTTCCCTGCGGAGCAGGCCCATCTCCTGGAAGTCCTCGGGCAAGTCCAGATGCGAGGTCCGCAGGAAGTTGAGGATGTAGCGGAACACTTTGCCGTCTCGGTCAATGAAGCAGTTACCCTGGCTGTCCCTCTTAGTGGACATCTTCCCGCTGAACATGGCGCCCAGCATGGAGTCGGGGAAGCTCGTTAGGGTTGCCAAGGAGGTCGTGTAGAGCTTGCCCCCGACGTTCAGCGTGATGGGGTCGGACATGGTAGAAGGCTGGGGTGCTGTGAAGTAGTCCTAAAGAGGAGGAAAGTGAGGAAAGACCATTACCCAGCCATGTCTGGGCAGTCACGGTTCTGAACTCCATATTATAAATCAAGTCTATACTCCTTGAGGCTGAAATCCTGAATTAATACTTGATGAACGAATGGATAGGTGATAATTGTCAAACATTGTCTAAAGCATATTAGATTCACTAGGGAGTTAAGAAAAAAAAAATCCAATAAACAAAAGCAAAAAATGAAGCCTCAGTCCCACCCTCAGCGATTCTGTTTAACTGGTCTGGAATGTGGCCCCAGCAATAGTATATTTTAACAGCTCCCTTGGTGATTCTAAATGTTCAGTTAGAATAGAAAACCACTGGTCTAAAGGAAGAAAGAAAATGTGCCTGGGCTGAGTGGTATGTTACATGTCTTTACATACATTTACTTATGTAATAGTCACATCAGTTTTTTTCTATAGACAATACCATTATCCATCCCTGTTATGCAGACAAAGAAGACCGTGCCAGGCTTCATTTCCCAGGCTCACAGAGGTGAACTGCCTTGTCAGGATTCAAACCCAAGTCCTTTTATATGGAGGGAAAATGTGTAAATGCTTGCTGGACAAAGATTGGTACACTCTAAGTACTTGTAGGATTTGTATCAATGTGCCTGTATCAATGTTGTCTCTGATTTCATTATTTTCTTGTCTCAAAGAATTTACAATGAATGACTGTGAACAGTGGCCTTTCCATCTAGCTACCAGGCCCACAATGGCCACTCAGTCCTCTGGACTCCAGACAACAATCCTCTCTGGATTCTCACTCCTCCCATGCCAACCTGCCTTGCCATGAAGATGCTCTTAACTCTTGGTGGCCTGCCCTTCCTTGTCACAGCAGCACAGCAGCATTCCCAGCCTTCTCAAACCTCCTGGGAGGTCGCTGTAAATGTGGAACTCTGCTATATTCTTGGAGGCTCTTTGCCCTCTCTTAAACAACCCCCCACCACCTCCACTGAGCTCACAGCCTCAGCACCTAGGGCTGGAGAGTCTCCTTCAACTTAAGTCTTGGATTCTAACGTCTGTCTTTTTTGTTTCCTATTATTATGTATATATTTTTTCTGGTGATATATACATATATGTATTATATATATATACACAACAAAACATTGGCCGTTTCAACCACTTGTATGTGTACAATTCAGTGACATTAATGTAACCACCACCACTACTCATTTCCAAATTTATTCATCACCCTTATTAGAAACTCAGTACCCCTTAAACAGTAATTCCCTCTTCCCCCTATCACTGGTAACCACTAATAAACTTTGGTCCCTATGCATTTGCCTAGTCTAGATATTTTATATAAGCGGGACCATACAATATATGTCCTTTTGTGCCTGATTTATTTCACTCAGCATAATGTTTCCCAGGTTTATCAATGTCACAGCATGGATCAGAACTTCATTTCTCTTTATAGCTGATCTAACTTCTCTTTAAGGTTCTAGAAAGTAGGGAATATACCCTCTCAGCTACCAACGTGATACTTTTCCCAGAGGTGACCTGTGGAATGGATTCAGCAACTATTCCCTGATGTTGGGGTGGAGTTGTGCAAACCAGTCCAGGGAGACTAAGATCACCCACATCTGATGTCAAAATGTGTGGCAGATGACAAATCCCACTCCACATTACACCCGTATCCTGTGGAAATCTCAGCTTCCCTTCCTTGTTCTATTTAGACCCCAGCTGCCCAGTCAGCCCTTCTTCCTCTCATCCCCAACCACCTAGGGCTAAGTTTCTGGGTACCAGCTGCAAGCTCAGGAGTCCACATGACACCCTTCATTTCACACCAGCCCATCCCAAATTTTGGCTTTCTTCTACCCATTCAGGAGGGTAGCCACAGCCCTGGAGTCCACATGACTCCCTCCACTTCAGACCGGCTAGCTCCTCCTGTTCCTTTGGGTCCAATAATTCACTGGAATGACTTACAGAGCTTGCAGGAGATACCATACCTGTAATAACAGCTTTAATATAACAAAAATGGATACAAATTAAGAGACATATAAGGTGGAGACCTGGGGAGGGGTCCTAGTGTGGAGCTTTCGTGTCCCAAAGAGGGACGCGCTACCTTCTTCCATGCATGGTCACCAACCAGGAAGCTTCCTGAGTCTCCATCTTCCAAGACCTGTATCAGCCTCACCATGTGGCTATGATAAATTATATCATACCTCCTGAGGCTTAGTCAACATTGGGCCCCAAGGTGGTTCCTCTTGGTCTGGTCAGCCTCCACTCATTTGCCTCAGGTGTGGTCCAGCTCTTAGGAGCCAAGACCAAAGGACAAATGGCTTTCTACAAGATGTGAAAAGGAGAGGAATCAGCCCCACTGCTGCCCCGAAGAAAAGCCCAGGGTGGTGGGGGAGTCTGAGACAAGAGACAGTGAGGGTACTGTGACAAGAAATGTATCAAGAGCTATAGGAGTAGGTTAGGAATGAATCTCGGCACATCAAAAAACATCTGGCCAAGCATGCTTACCATCCAGATGGGGAAACAGAGGTCCAAGAAGGGGGACTTCCCCAAAGTCACCCAGCAGGCAGGGTGACTTTAAGAAAGGCCAGAGCACGTCTCATCAAATATCTGTCCTTCTCTCTCTCATCCCTAACCACCTAGGACTAGGTCACTGGGTACCAGCTGACTGGGCTAAGACCCCCTTTCTCTAAAGGATGGAGGCCATGCTGGGTACGGGAGATGTTCAGCTGCCCCATCCAACTCTTGGGGGCTCCCATCATGATTCCTTACCAGTCTAATGGGGCACTTTGATATTGCAGAAAGGGATTAACCACCTGGTGTGTCTGAAGAGAAAGGAGGCCACGATGAAATTACAAAATCGTCAGCAGAAGCCCAGAGCAGATGGGTTGCAAGACAGTGGGGAGGCCCGGCAGAGGGATGGTATAAGCCACCAGTGGAAAGCGTTGCTGCTGGTTTGAGGACTAGCTTTTGGAAGCAGTAGCTGAGGAGGGTGCTTGGGACTCAGGGCTGAATATGGCCAATTTTCTCTCCAGAGGGCCTAGGCAAGAGCTGGGTCCAGGAGTAGGGCACCTCTTCCCCATTCCCAGAATCTTCTCTTCCCTCCTGGTTTCCTACAACCCTCTTCCCAGGACTCCAGCCTCTCCAACTCCTTTTATTCTAGATTGTAATTTGCTCATTCTAGTTTTCAATCTCTCTTTCTTCTTGGAAAAAAACATGAGGATTAAGGCCCAGACTCTGAGAAGTGGCTTAGCTCCACGGAAAGAGTAGGCTCAGGCATCAGAGAGTCTGGGCTGCCTTTCCTGACAGGCTCTGTGGGCCTCAGACACATATTTCCCTCCAAGTACTAGTGATGAAATGCTAAGGGCAAGGTGTAGGGGGCAGTCAGGAGCCATAGGACAGACCTGAGGGTCCTTAGGTGGTCACCCAACCTCCTATCTCTCTGCTTGCAAAAGGTACAGAGCACCTGCCTTCCTGACCCTACCAGCCATATAGTGGCCACAAGATCATGGCTCCCAGTCATTTGTCCAGGGAAAGCAGCCCAGAGTTACACAATCCACCAGGAACAGAGCTTGGCTTAGAACACAGGTCTCCTGGCCTCCGGTCTAGGATTCTCTCTGTGGCACTTCTCCCCATATCCGCTGACTCACAGAGCTTGGCTCCTCAAGCCCCTGTTTTCTAGTGGTAGTGCCATGGGGCCCACCATCACAAATCCAGTCTCGCTGTGAAAGGTGCAAAGACATGGGGGCGGGGGATGGTGGTGGCAGGAAGTGGCACCTTCAAGGGGCTGAAGAGCTGTCTGAGAATGGCAGAGGGTTTAGGGTCAGGTGGTGATGAACTGATGGATCTAGAGCCCCAGTGCGTACCCAGTGACCTCCTGGACAGCTCCACCTGGATAGTTCACAGGTACCATAAGCCTAAAAGAGAATTCATCTTGCCCCAAACCCACTGTGGACTCATCTCTGCCACCCAACTGCAGGGAGGCGGCTTTGACTCCTCAGCTCTGAAACTGCTCTTGATCTATCTCCCTGAACTCATCCCTGTAGCTATTCCTGGGCTCAGGCCTCATCCTGGCTCTCCCCACATCCTTACTCAGCTCATTGACTTCTGCCCATCTTTTATTTTGGTCCACAGAGTGATCTTCTTGAAGTATGATTTTCATCTTACTTCCCTGCCCAAAGCACCTTGCTCAACTCTAAGCTGCCCTCAGCACAGCCTGTGCTCTGGCACTCCAGGTACCACTGAACACATCTTCACACTCTGTCACTGCTCTCCCTGCCTTTGCTCTGCTTACACCACCCTTTGCCTATCTTTTCCACTTTCTCCATCTTCTCTGCTGTCAAGCTTCAGGGCCCACCCAGCCTATGAGTCACTGCCTCTGTGAGGCTGTCCTCAAATCTCCCCATCTAGATGAACAGCTCGCCTTTGAGGGCTTCTTAGGACCTTGCATGAACCTCTCTGGTAGTGCTCACCATTCTGTCATGTAATGATTTGATTTGCATACGGCTCTCCTCCCTGCTTTTATAAAAATGTAGATCACTGGACATCCATATCTTGCATCATACATGAAAATTCACTCAAAATGGATCATAGATCTAAATGTAAAATCTAAATCTATAAAACTTCTAGGGAAAATCTTTGTGACTCTGTGTTAGGCAAAGATTTCTTGGACAGGACACAAAAAACAGACCATAAAAGAAAAAAAAAATTGATGAACTGAACTTCATCCAAATTAAAAAAAACTTCTGCTCTTTGAAAGACACTGTTAAGAAATGAACAAACAAGCTACAAACTTGGAGAAAATATTTGTAAAACACATATCTGATAAAGGACGGCCAATGAAAATATCTAAAAGAACTCTCAAAACTCAATAACAACAAAACAAACACTTAATTAAAAAATGGGCAAAAGATCTGAACAAACACTTCACCAAAGATATACAAATGACAACTAAGCAAATGAAAAGATGCTAAACATCATTAGTC